AATAACTAGTAATAAACTCAATCAAAATTTTAAATATTTAAAATCTTAAAGTCACTAGAAGTCAAAAAATTCAAATTTATAGGCATATATGCTAGGGGTAAAAATTATGACAGAATGGTCAATAGTAGACTCTAAAACATAGAAATAGTAATCTATTAACCTAATGTTAGGAGGTTAACATTATTAACATATAACATTATATTACATTAATATTAATATGTACACATTACATTAACATGTATATAATTAACTTATAACAGTAAAGGTTAATAATGTTAAACTATTAACATTAGGTTGATATTCTTTAGTGAAGTCAAATAAAATGTGAATTTAAGAAAGAAGAGGAATGACTTTTAAAATGTTTCCAGCTGCTAAGAAAACATCTTCAAGTATTTCTTCAAAGGATGAGTAAGGACATTAAGCTATGGTACTTAGGGTTAATTGGATAAACTTAACAGTAATGCAACCACATGTAAAAATATCAACTTTTACAATATGATGGAAATTACATTTATTGCAAGTATCTTAGTTTTTAGTGAAAAGCTATAGATGTCAACCCTCCAAAAATGTGTTGAAGAAGCACATTATTTTTCAAACTTCTTTTAGGGAGAAAGTGAGTAAAAATATTTGAAGACCATTAATATAAAGAATAACCATTACTTATTCTCAACCTGTAAAATGACTCCTTTTATGGAATGGGGGATTTAAAGGGAAAATAAAGACTCCAGGGTTCAAGTCTGGGGTATCCTAGGAATTACTTTTCTTTTAAAGTTTTTTCCCCTAGTAAGAAGAATATTGGGAAAAAGAGGACACACAAATAACCCCAAGTAAAGAGATGGGTATATAGAATCGCTTCAAATAGCGTAAAGCTGATAATCGCAGTAAGAAGCTGTTAGAGGTAAAGAAGATTTTACTGTATTGATATGTATATAATTAATCAGATTTATATCCCCAAGGCAATCTTTACACTCAGTTTACCTATACTTTGATTCTTTCTAAGCCCTTTTGTTCTCTAAGACATGGTTTAGCACATTTTTTTTCTGTAAAGGGATAAGTAATACATATATTTGACTTCCCAGGTCATGCAATCTTGTGTTGTAACTACTCAGCTCTGACGTTGTGGGGAGACAGCATATAAACACATGCCATCAAAAACGAGTGTGGCTATGTACCAGTAAGTCTTTATTTATGGACACCAGATTTTAAAATTAATATAACTTTCATATGCCAGAAAACATATTTCTTTTGATTTTAAAACCATCCTAAACTCATAGGTGTCACAAAAATAGCAGCAGGCCAGCTTTGGTCTCAGGTAACAGTTTGTAAACTTCTTATCAGATATAGTACTTAAAGGCCTCTTTATGTGAAAAACAGGCTTAGTATCTGGAAGGAGACACAGGAAACTGTCCACTCTCATTGTATTTTGGTTAATATGATGGGTGATTGAGCTGGGAGGATTTATTTTCCAGTATATTGCTTAAATTACTTGCTATGTGCTAAGATTTGGATATGACTTGACTGTGTCTCCTTTAGGATTCATGGGCTAAAAACTTGGATCTAGTGTATCAATGTCAAGAGATGATGGAGCCTTTAAGAGGTAGAAAGAAAAAAAAGAACCAACGTGATTCTTTGGGGTAAAATTGGGAGTTCATAACCCACTTCAATCTAATGTATGAAATATGATATGTCAAGAGCTTTGTAATGTTGTGAACAACCAATAAAAAAAATAAAAAAAATAAAATAAAATAAAAAAATAAAAGCTATTAAAAAAAAAAAAGAAGCTGGGTTACAATAGCTCTTCCAAAACAAACAAACAAAAATCCTGTTAAAATTGTCTTTTCTCTTTCCTGGTATTTTTTTTTTTCACAGAAGTTTTTTTATTTAATTAAATCCAGTTTCTCTTAAAGAAAAAAAAAGGTAGAACATAGCAGAAGGGGTTAATGCTGGTTTCAAAAAGTAAACTCCTTCTTCCAAGTATAGGTTGTTAGCAAGGCCACTCCATGTACTTGGCCCAATCTGCATGTGGCAATATCCCTTTCCATTTCTTCCCCCTGTTGTGATACAGACAGGGGCCCTTGCCAGAATCTCAGTGCCATGTTCCAGCTACCAGAATCATGAATCAAATAAATCTGTTTACTTAATAAGATATCCAGGCAGGTGTTTTTTTATAGCAACACAAAACAGACTAAAATACCATTTATTTGTGCTGTCACTTCAAAAATTACAGAATTTCCTTTAAAAAAAAAAAAAACCCTTCAGGATTTGTGAATCTATTGAGCCTGGTTTGAGTGAACCTGGGTCTAAAAAGTTTTGTTGCTAGCTTTCAAGGGCACAAACGTGATGGGTCTCCTGCCAGAGATAATAATCTGAATGATTCAGAATTAGGGGAATTAGACTTTCACTTGGGTGAGCAAATGATAAATTATCCTAAAGCTTATGCAATGAAAGAATGAAATCCTTATCTCATGTCATTTTTTTCCAGGAAGAGCATGCCAAATGTCATGGATTTGGCAGAACCAAGCAAGAAAAGCAATAAATACAGATAATTTAAGTGAGCCAACATTTCTTTGGGGCCTATTGTGTGCCAAGCACTTGAATTTAAAGTGCCAAGTTTATATGAATATTACAGGAATCCAAAATGAAAATGAGTACACCTTGAAAATATTAAAGAGTTGAAGTATGGGAAAGGTTTATGAACATTGTTCAAGGTTAAAAAAAAAAGAGAGAGAGAGAGAGAGACAGACTCTGGGTACAATGGTGCCCACTATAGTTTTAGCTACTCACAAGGCTAAGGTAAGAGGAACAGTGAGCCCAGGAGTTTGGGACTAGCCTGGGCAGTGTAGTCAAAGAGTCTCTCTCTTACAAAAATAAAAAGAAAAATCATTCAAGGAAAGAAAAGCACAGAGGGAAACCTAAAATCAAAAAGTTACAGATTTATAATCTTTTTCTTTCTTTCTGTTTGTGTGTATGTGTGTGTTGCTGGGGATAGAACCCAGAGCCTTGTACACGCTAGGCAAGTATTCTACCGCTGAGCTATATCCCGTACACACACACACACACACACACACACACACACACACACACATATATATATATTTTTTTTTTTGAGTACTGGGAATTGAACTCAGGGACACTCAACCATTGAGCCACATCCCCCACCCTATTTTGATTTTATTTAGAGTCAGGGTCTCACTGAGTTGCTTGGCACCTCACTTTTGCTGAGGCTGACTTTGAACTCATGATCCTCCTGACTCAGCTCCTGAGCTGCTGGGATTACAGGCATGTACCACCACACCCAGCCCCTCCCCATTTTTTTTAAAGGCCAGAGGAAATGGGACTTAAGCTATAGGATATAAATTTGGGTTGGATATTAGGAAAAATGATTATTTACTTTTCATTGTAGCATTTCCTAATCCACAAATAGGGGAAACTATCTAGAGCAGGAGTGGCCTAAGTTTTGGAGGGCTTTTAACTTATTTATTAAAAAATGTATACATGCATATATACATATATTTAGTATATGTGATCCATATGTGTGTTCATATCCATACTTGCACAATTGGCATTTATGTATTCAAACTTGAATATCTCTAGTCTCAGACTAGTTGGTGAGTATGAATGAGATCCCATTAGGAGCCACAACTCAACTTTCACTGGCATTGTCCTCAGGACCTCCAGCTCCCTATCAGGGCGTCTCCTCCCACTAACAACCTCCAAACACTTCAGGAGTGTCCTGAGGTCTCTTTAGGCTCATAATCAAGTTTGTTCCGACTTCTCCTTCCACAGTGCTTTGTTGGGGGGTGGGGTGGGCAGTGCACCCAGTAGTTAGTGGTGTTACTCTGCTGGGTGCTTCTCTATGGGTTGTGATACTGCTTCTGTTTCACAATTGCCCCAGGAAGGCCCTGGGCTCTGTCGGGTTCAAAGTTCCACCACACTCTAAGGCCGAGTTATTTGAAGGTAAGGGTGGGGTTGACATGAACCATCTCTGTGGAAGAGTCTGCCTTATACTTCAGTGTTTCCAAGCTTCATTTTTATTTATAGGTCTTCTCTTCTCTCCTCTGGGTGGTAGAAAAACATCCAGAGTCAAATGCGGTTACACTGAGAATTATGCATTTCTTTAATGACTGAGGTTGTGCTCTGGGATGAAAAAAATCAGGGTTCCTAGCACCCCCTGACTTTAGAATGAGTTTTGTCCCAGCAAGCAGCCTGTCTTCCTGGAGTCTGATAATCGAGTTCGGTAGAGTTTATAGGGCTACACTGTTGGCTTATTATGGACCCGGGCCTGTCTGATTCTCCCCCAGGGGACACAGCTTGTGTCCCTTCTCAGGGGACTCTCATTTTTGCTTCTTTACTCCCTCTCTAGTATTTTCTCACAATTCAGACGTTACCAGTATTGCCCATCTTTAAAACGACCCTGAAACCATGTCCTCTTCCAGCTACTTCCCTATCCCTGTCTTTTCACACCTACGCTCTCTGTTAGAGCACCTGTTCTTTGCCTTAGTAACCAGTGTTCAGGACCCTATGCAATCATCTGAGTGTTCAAGTTACTTTTTCAATGTCTGTTCCTCAATAAACTTGATATCAAGGATCACAGATTTTTTTTTCCACTTTCACCATTTTATTTCCAAAGATCCAGTAAGTAGTTTATGGTTAGAATAAGTGCTCAGTAAATGATGTTTAAAGCATGAATAAATGAACAAATGAAGAAAACTGGCTTCTGGTGGACTACCTTAACAGAAGCCAGAGGTATCTGAAATTGACTTCTGGGTGAGCGGGGGCATTTGATGAGTAAGAGGGAAATAGAAGCCAAATAGGGGGGAAATTCTAATGAAATAAATATTTGTTCAACAAAATCCTGATGTTTTCTTCTTGGGTAATAAATAGAAATATTTCTTGGTAAACAAAATGATTTCTTGGTAGAGATAGGATAAAATGATTTGAAAATCATCCTCAGAAAGCAGCGCACCTTTCATCATTCGATCTTTCAAATTACTTCTTAGGAGGTAGAGAACATCTTGGGAAGAAGGAAGGAAGAAAAGAAGACTTAGTGATATAACTCAAAGTGAGCACTGCTTCTCTTGGACTTAGTCTGGAAATTTCCTCAGGATGAAACTTCAGACGTTTCGGTGAGATTTACCATTCGTTTTCTTTTTACCATAATCTCTTTCTTTTTCTTTTTCTTCTTCTTCTTTGTGTTACTGGAGGGTGAACCATGGCTTCATACATGTAGGCAAGTGCTCTACACCCCCAGCCTTAACATAACCTCCTTTTACCCTATTCTAAAATATTACCCAGGTAAACATGGGAGTGAAAATGCAAGTCCCTGAAACTCTCACTAAAAGGCGGAAATAAAGATGATCTTGGGGGAACACTTTCTGAATTTCTGATGTGCTGACCATGCACAAATCACCAAGAAAGTTTCAGCAGGAAGTATTTTACTACTGTTGTGTGTTTACTCAAACCTGGTCAACTTTCAAATAAAGTTTAAGATAATAAATCATGGATCCATTTTTTTTTTCGTACTGGGGATTGAACTTGGGAGCACTCAAATACTAAGCCACATTCCCAGACCTATTTTGTATTTTATTTTAAAGACAGGGTCTCTTTCATTATTATTACTGTGTGTATATATGTGACCACATGACCAATATGATTCTGCAACCTGTACACTCAGAAAAATGAGAAATTATATCCTGTCTTATTCAGATGTATGATATGTCAAGGTAATTGTACTGTCATGCGTAACTAATTAAAACAAACAAACAAACAGGGTCTCACTGAGTTGCTTAGTGCTTTGTTTTTGCTGAGGCTTGTCTTTGAATTCTCAATCTTCCTGCCTCCGTCTCCCAAACCTCTGGGATTACAGGCATGCACCACCACACACAGATAATAATTGATCTCAAAGCTTTTATATTTATATTTAATATAAAAATTTTATATTTATATTTAATAATTAATCAAAGCTTTTAAATTTGTTTCTGTTTTTCTTTCTAAATATAAAAGCAAGTCATAACTAAAATGTCATATAGTCTGTTCAAATCTCCAATTGCTGAAATTTAAATGAAAACATATGGTGTTTCTCTAGATACCTAAGAGTATCTCTTCTGAAAGCATACATCTTGGACATTTTTAAATCCAAATAAGGTGTAAACATGATAAATGTTGAGAAAGGATGTAGCAAAGTGTCTACAAAGGAGCCATTTGTACTTTTGTAAATCAGACTTCCCTCTCTGTCCTCATGTCTGTGAACCAGCTCCATATTCACCTTGTACCATGAACTCTCTATGTATTTGCCTTTCAGGGTTTTTATTTGAAGACCACCATGATGAAAGTGCATTCTCAAATTGAAAAGTTTGAATGGGAACAAAAATAAATCTTATTGAACACTCCCATATACCAGCCATGGATGAATTTTCTCTTTCTGAAAATGTATTTGGTAAGTTGTCAAGTTGACTTAAATATCCATAAAAAAGAAACTACCATTTGGAAGTACACAAGGAAAAAACCCCTGAGATAATTAGTTCAATAGGGAGTCAAGAAAATGTTTTTGTTCCTTTTAATCTTTTAAGTACTCAATAAATGTTAGCTACCCTGCCAAGTTGGAGGCAGGGCGGACCTTGGATTCATTGAACCAAATTGTCTTTTTTTTTCTTTTTAAATAGATGAGGACTGCAAGAGCTTTGGGACTTGCCCAAGGCCATGAGGCTAGATCATTAACAGAGCTGGGAGTAACTCTAGGGCTAATTCTAATAATATTATAGCAGGTATAAAGTATGAAATCATGATTTGTATGGTTTAATATTATATTTATTAAAGACTTGGATTACAGCTCTGCAGTAGGTTTCCTTTCTACCATTCCTCCAGTGCTAGGGGATCTATGGCACGGTGTAGGGATTAGTCATTGAAACTGGACTAAGGACAAATTGTTCTGAGTTGTTTCCAGTAGATCTGTAACTAGATGGTACCATAAAATGGTATATTGCTCCACTTTATGCATGTATGAAAAACATCTCCTTATAAAAGGTTTCAATTGAGAATATAAGCAGAGTCAAAATGAGGCAATATTTTGGGTCGGGCAGGCAGCCTTCCCGCCACCCTTAAAACTCTTCCCTTCTGTATAAGAACACTGCTGGGAGGCCAGGATATTCCTAGTCTTCATCTGACCTTGATATATGAACCATGGTAGACTATGATTGTGAAAATGTGGGGCACTTGAAATTCCCACAAGTTCAGTGTGTTGAGGCATGATCCCATATTTGGTTTCAGATATCCCTAGGAGATACTATAGTTTACTCTATTACCCTCCTAGTCGCTAATGTAATGGGTTGTTAGGTCATTATTTGCATTTCCTATTTACATGTCTGCCTGCAATATAGGATAAGGGCATCTAAGGATAGTGACCATGTTTCATTAATCCTTGAATCTACTCGATATATAGCAATGCAGTAGTAAGTTATACACGTAAGGGGGAAAGAGGTTGATGGAATAAGGAGATGTTGATCAGTGACTCTCAGTGAGACCAAAGGTGGCAGTAATTACTTATGAAATCCAGTTTTCCTCATACTCACTGGCTCTTATTTCTTCAGCCTGTAGATGCAATCAAGGGCTGTGGGAGGCCCTGCCTCCATGTCTGGCCACTTGACCTTTTGCTTCTGGTCTGCTTTCCTTTAGCTCTTTAGAAAAATCGTTGTATAGACAGCTTCCTAATTTTTGCTCTAACAATCATAACTCACAACAAAATTAGGACAATTAGTACTTACTAAAGACTAAAGAAAATTCCACTTAAGAAGGTTTTTCAAATAAAAACTGCCATTTCCTGCTCTAAAATTTTACAACACGTGTTGCAATCTCCCAGTCTGAACATTATTAAACCAATCTGTGCAGCTCCAGTTTGCACGCGGGGAGGAAGTGGTAGGTGTCTCTTACGAACTAGCCCAGTTGTAAGCAAGAACACCAGGTCACCTGAGCAGCCGGGAGGTGAAAAAGATGTCAGTGAATAGAGAAAATGCTGCTGAATGTGCTTTCTGGTTGGAAGCACCTGAAAATGATTGCTCAGGATGCAGTGAGACTCCTGCTTTCTGCATTGTGGTCCCCTCCTCTCTCTTTGGCTACATCATTCTCACTGTTTCCTAACACTGCATCTAAGGTTTCTTGGAATGTGTAGTACAAGGTGCCTGAGCTGCAATATATGGCTGCTAGTGTTGGATGGAGCAGTTTCTTCACCTCTTTATCTGGTCCCATGTGTGATTAGCTTTGCCCCACTAAGCTGTAGAGCCAGGCCTAAAGCATTCTTTCTAAATACATTTCTTCTATGGCCTCAGTCTTATTCTACTCAACACATCTGGGGTAGAGGTAGGCCAAAAGGGAGGATGATTGATTCCTTCCTTCCTTTTCTCCCTCTTTTTGTGTGTCTAATGACACATGAATTCTTTGACCACCCTTTCCCTGAATTTAGTGTGGAACACATCAGGAAAAAAGACTTTTTAAAAATAATTTAGGCATTTTTTAATTAGTTGTTCAAAACATTACATAGCTCTTGACATATCATATTTTATACATTTGATTCAAGTGGGTTATGAACTCCCATTTTTCCCCTGTATACAGATTGCTGAATCACATCGTTTACACATCCACGTTTTTACATACTGTAATTTAGGCATTTTAGGAAAAAAGGCTTTGCTCATGAATGAGTAGCCTCAGGGCCTAACTTATCACTCTGGATCTTAAGCTATGCCAGAGGTGCAGAAGGGTTAATCTATGGGTCCAACTAACCAGAAACCTGGACTCTTTTCCAATAGTCTGTGTACTCAACTAGCCATCATGTTCCAATAATGGCGAGTGAGGTTTATGGCATAGAGTATGGGAGAACTATCACTTTGTCCATTCAAATGTTGAGCATTGATGAACAGCTGGGTATTGGAGTAGAGAATTAGAAAAGATCCTGATGGAGAGTGGAATAACATCAGGTCATGGTAAGTGTTATGAAAACAACAACATGGGACAATGTCATTGGGACAGGAGGATGGGCTGCCCTTTCTGATGTGGTCAGGGAAAGCTTTTGAGGAATTGACAATTTAACTCAGACTGAAAGACTAGGAGCTGAGAACGTTCTGGAAAGAGGGAATAGCAAGTGTAAAGGCCTCAAGTCTGGACTTGGAAGGACCTTGTCTTCCCCTTCTTATTGAGGGCAGTAGGAAGTCTAGAGTCTAGTCTGACTTTGGACCTGCTCTTCCATTAGCCACCTGTGCAGCTGAAATAGCTCATTCTGGTTCAGTTAGTAAAATAGGATAGTTAGGCTAGTAACTTCAGGACCTCCATCTGGTTTTAACTTCTTTTTTTTTTTTTTTTGATACTGGGGATATAGCCCGGGGCATTTTACCACTGAGCCACATCCTCAGACCTTTTTTTGATTTTTTTATTTTGAGATAGGGTTTCACTAAGTTGCTGAAGATCTCACTAAATTGCTGAGGCTGGTCTTAGAACTTTCGATCCTCCTGTCTCAGCCTCCCCAGTAGCTGGGATTACAGGTGTATGCCACCGCACCCGGCTTAGTTTTAACATTTGAGTCTACAAAAAGTTGTAGTTGCCCATGTCAGGAAATGGTGACTCTGTGGAACTCACTTTGTACATGACTTGACTGGTCCATTCAAGGTGGCCTTGGGCATGGTCCCTCTCATAGCAGGTTAAGTATAGAGACATAATTAAATCCCAATCTGAAGACACTGGGAAGGTGACCTCTATTGAAGACAAATACTGTTGAGCACTCAGTAATGGGTGCTGGAGACACTAAAGACCTTTTCAATGATAACTTTCAGCCATGAACTCTTCCTTCTTCAAAGGTTTTGCCTAAGATAAAGGGGAATATCTCCACCCATAGAAATGATTAATCCAAAAAAGCAGAGCCTGAAGGAAGGATGGTGTGCAGGCAGTTTTTACATGAGAGGTGATGGGGGAGCAGATGTGAGGGACTTGGTTGGATGAGATAGCGAAGGAAGGGAAATTCATGTGAAGTGAGTGATCCTGATCACTGCTATGAGCAACCTGAGCTTGATGCCCTTGGGAGTAGCATAGAGAATTGTCAGTGAAGGGATCAGGGACTGGAATGTTTAATAACCAGTCTCTGGCTCCCATTGGTTGAGAGTCATCCTTGGGGGGTCACTGACTCTCCCATAGTTCTGGACTGTCCTTGTGCTCAAGTCCAGCTCTGTCCTGTGCTGTTGGAGAAGTTCTTGTCAGAAAGCAAAAGGGTGGGCAGCATGTTCTTGAAATAACAGGCTGTCAGCCTGAGGTGAGTCTGTGCTCATGAAGGATAACTTGATTCTGCAAATCAAGTCAGAGGTGGCCGAAGGACTGTGACACCATCACCAGAAAAAGGAGGAAAAAGCTTGGGCAAAATGGAGCTAAAGATGAGATACTAGAATCACCTCCCCGAGGCCCTTTAATTTAGTCCTGCCCTGGTAAATCCAGATGGGAATCTAGACCATAGGTAACTAAATCCCCACAGATGACTCGGAATGGAAGGACTTGATGACCTCACAAGAGAAGTCTCCTTTCCTTTGAGAGGGCCTGCAAGCCAGGAAACTCGGTCAAAGATTAATTCGGTGGTTTTAAAAAGGCATCTCTTTGAATGAAGGCAAGGTATATGATTAATGCATAATAAAAGGCAGTAATGACAAAGTCCACAGCTTTCCATGTTTTGACATAGTGAACAGGGTCAGGGGTGGTATATTAATTAAAATCTATATTTTCTTTTAGCAAATCTTGATTTAAAAACTAAAAAGCCACAGAACTTTTAAGACTAATAAGCAAAGCATTGTAATAATGGAGGAGAATAAACAGAGAAAGTTTAGACTTACGCTCCCATGCCCCAAGTTCCCAGAGTGGTGCATCTTGATTCATTTATCTCAGTCATATTGAGAAAAGTTCACTGAATGTGAGTGGAAAAAAAGAAATGAAATTGAAAAAAAAAAAAGTCTCCAAGGCAAGTGACACTTTCTGAACTTCTGTTCTCTCCCCGGTGAAACAGAGGTGCTAATGACTTCACAGCACAAGGGAGGAATGAATGGACTGTGTGGGAAAGTGTTCTGCAAACTGCAAGTCATCAGGAAACATCCTAATTACTCCAGGGTTGGAAAGGAATGTGTTATATTTAAATTGTTGAAACGATAAACACTACTTTGCTCATTAAAAGAAGGAAGTACTGTTTATCTTAGCATTGTTGAGTGCAAAGAATTTTCAAAGACCCCAAAAAATTAACAATATGTAAACACATTTCTATGTCCTTTAAGGAAGGGAACACATGATCTGTCTCACGTGGGCATCACAATATTGCTAGCAATAGCTTTGAAATCCACGTTTTATATTCTTTTTATTATTGTATCTAACAGTTTTTCCAAAGCCTCATTTTGAGAGGCTCAACAAGTGGCAGAAGGCAGA